GTGCCAGAAATAACCGTGACATTAGGATTAAGCTAACCTGGAGAGGTCCTGAGAGAGACTCATTAAAATGAGGGCTACAAATTCCCTGCCATCAAGGCTGGACAAGACTGGTAAACATGACCAAGTCGCAGTGTGATTTGCTCCAGCAACAGACCCTCTCCAACCAAGTTTTACCAACCAGGAGCAGACAGCAAACACCCTAAAAAAACTTCAGTGAGACAAGCCATTGCTTGAGAAAGGGATTCAGCACGTTTTACAGTAAAAGGGGAATTGTAAAGTAAGGATCTGAGGATTTCGGGGCTAACATAAGCCCGCACTCAATCCACTCACCCACAACTGCATCCCCAGCAGAGAGCATCCACAGCAGATGCCTCCGGCGAGGTCCAGTGAGGGCTGGCAGCATCTGAGAGCATTATACCTGCAAAGGCTGCAGAAACAGCCTGTCCCCACAGATCCTGCAGGATTTTTTCCTGGCAAACTCAGGCTTGATATGCACAGGAAAAGCAGCCCAAGGAGGTGTTTGCAGTTGCTGCACTGCCAAGGACAGTGAATGTCTCACCAGCTCCTATCAAATCTTGGGGGAGGTGATGCTGCATGTCCAGAAAGAGTCAAGTAGATTATTATTATTACTACTATTTTATTACTATTATTTTCCCCACATATGTTAGCATTCATCTGGGCCAAGAAAAACAAGCAATATGTCCTGGCATCATCCTTCCTCCCTGGGGCTCATCTTCTTCCCCATCCCTCCTGCTGGAGGGGTCAGGCTGGGACTCTACTCCCCCACAGCTCCCCCTCATTTTGCTTCTGTATCAGCCCAGAACCTCAGTTGGGGCTCTGGGTGATACCTGAGCTAAAAGAAAAGCTCATTACAGGGGAAAAAAAAAAAAAAAAAAAAAAAAAACCAAAATGGTCAGGGGGGTTTTAAAGGTTGATACACCTCCCTAGATTCCAGCCAGCCACGGCTGAGGCTTCCTGGAGGGACCGCTCTTTCTACCTCCCTGGCAGCATCTCTTGGGAAACATAAGCTCACCACATTTTTGAGGTCTCGCTTGGACAGCATGTAGGTCTGTCCCCACTCCAAAAAATAACTCCTCCATGCCACAGCGGTGAGCTTGGCCCCGCGCACTAACCCGGCTGCCGACAGCCCTGCCCGGTCGGTGACATTGAGCCACGCTGGCCCCAGCAGCTCCCAGCGGGAGATGGAGCAGTCACTTTGATTCATTTAGACTAGCTGATCACATCCGTTTACTCACATACACACCAAAAAAAAAAACCCACCATCAGGGCATACCAGGCATCTTTAACCCCCATCCATTGTCAGAAGGATGCAGGTGGAAAGCTCTGATGAGAACTGGTGTCCCCCCTTCACAGCGGCCACGATGCCTCTTTGCAACTACAGACAGTGATGTTAGAGGGAAGGAGAGGTGGGAGCAGTGATTTAGGATGGGGAGGATTGCTTACCTTGATTTATTCCTCCTGGGAACTGCAGGTGCTGCTGCTCCATTGTCACTGGCTGCCAAACAAGCCAGCAAAACTTGTTTCTGCAGACTTAAACCATCTGCAAAGGTGTTTCTTTTCAGGACAGGCATAAAACAAGATTCTTTAGTCCTCTCTGGGGTGGAAGCCCAACACAGGCATTTGGGTCCCTTAACAGGAGAAGAGGAATCCATTTTTATACCCAAGCAAACCCACAACAAGCTCTTCTGCTGCACAGAGGCATTACCGAGGGTTTCCCTCCATGTCAGCTTGGTCTCAGCACAGATGAAGGTGGAGGTAGCGGTTTAGAATGTTTTCAGCTGAGAAGCTCTGTGGATGTCAGCCAAGGGGTGGGATTGTATAGATCATCTCCATAACACCCCAAGGCTGCGCCCATGCCAGGAGATGAAGGGGCCCATCACCCTATGTGTCCTCATCATGGTCAAATGCATCCCGCACCCCTCACCGGCCGGGAGAGACCCGGCTGGCATGGCTAACCGTGGGCACCACTCCCGGTGCTGTCCAGCCATCGGCACAACCGGGACAAGGATCACTGGTCCCTGGTGGGTCTAGGATGGTCAAGGGTGATCAAGGATGACCATTCATGAATGATGCTGGTCAAGGGCAAGAGGGACATGTTGCCCAAACCACCATCACCACCACTGCAGTGGGCAGGACACAGGGTAACCCTCCCCGGCCTCTGCTCTTCCCTCCCAAAATCCTCAAGTGCCACAACCCCCATGGGAGCCCAGGCCCAGAAGGACCCCCAACCTCACCCCACGCCACCTCCTGCTCCAGCCCACGCCCCCCAAAACCCATCCGGGCGGTGCATGCCCCAGCCTTCCCATCTCTTTGCAGATGCGCCAGGCTCCTGCTGAGACACGGGGCCACCGTCAACCTGCCCAGTGAGGACGGGGGTGAGACAGCGCTGCACGTGGCAGCCAGGCACTGCCTCTGCGACCATGCCCGCCTCTACCTGCGGCACGGGGCGTGCGTCGATGCACGCAGCATGCGGGAGGAGACGGCCCTCAGCATCCTCTGCGGGCAGGCGCCAGGCCCTGGTGAGGGCTGCCTGCAGCTTTGCCGTCTGCTGGCAGCCCATGGTGCCGACATTGATGCCCGGGATGAGACACGGAGGAGCCCTTTGCACAAGGCGTGTGGGGCCGCCAACGCCAGCCTGGCGTGCTTCCTCCTGCAGCGTGGGGCTGACGTCAATGCCATCGACTATGACGGCATCTCCCCACTGGGCTGCGCACTGCAGAGCGCCACCTTCAAGCGGGAGCTGCGGCCCCACCTCGCTGTCCAGCTGCTGCTCAACCATGGCTCCCAGAAGATATGGCCCCCTGCCTTCGTCAAGGTACCGACCCAAAAACAGCCCCTGTGCATCCCCTTGCACCTAGGATTTTGCAATTGGGGTCAGGGTGCTTTGGAAAATAAAAAGACGGGGGACTGGGAGAATCTGGGAGAGCCTCCCGGTCTGGGCAGGGAAAGGGTACCACGGCATCGGGGTAGGCGATGCTGCTGGGAATGATGGAAACAAACACACCCACTCAGGGTGGCAGTGGGGAAAGCAGGCAGGGGGAAGGGCAAGATGGAGCCAGCACAGGCAGGGAGCACTGGCAAGGAGGATTTTTTCCTGCCTGGGGATGTTAGAGACAGGCTTGGTACATCAGCCATCAGTGCAGCCACCTTATGGCTCTGTGTTTCATTGATTTTACATCAAACAATAAAGAAAATATTATCCTGGCTTATCATGCACGAGCCAAAAATGTAAATAAGAAGCAAAGGCCACATCCAGAGGAAGAAGTGCCACAGCAAGGCAGGTCTTCCCACTGCTTCACAGATGGAGAAAGATCTTCAAAGCATGCCAGGACAAACCCTACACCTGCCTCATACCAACAGGGGACTATCCCAGCCTGGACTGCGGTGGGGTGGGAGAAGCCCCAGCTGCAGCACATGGCTCTGCCCCTCTGGGACACGCATCTCTGTCTGAACACCCTCGCATTGCCCACGACTAGGTGCTGAAGTCCTGCGCAGCCGTGCCGGAGATCATCGAAGTCCTCTTCAATTCCTACTCACAAATCCCTGTCTCTGAGAAGTGGGCCGAGGCCGTGCCAGAGGAGGTGTTTCAGGTGAGATGGCGCTGGTGGTTTGGCAGGGATGGCTGAGCCTCGAGGAAGGGGTTTTACCCACTGAGAGTTTTTTCCCCCTCCCAAACTTCAGTTGGGGGGGGAAGGGATAGTCCTTGGAACACCACTGCACACCTGATTCATCTCAGCAGTGTTGCATCCCTTTAGCTCCATCAACACCAAAACCCCCATTCTTGCCCCTGGCCCGCAACAAAATAGAATCCCAACATCTGGAAGTGACCCTGGAGCCAGACCGCTGCCCGGCAGGAGCCCACGCCACTGATTTTTATTTTAAAAGTCTTGTCCCCAGACATGCAACAGGTACAGCCAGCCTGCTCTTGAATGATCTTGGATGGCTGCCTTGTCCCCCCGTCTTTGGCTAGCTGGGCCGCAAGTGGGGACAGCTGCTGCAGTGCAAATAAAGCCCTTCGGCATGTTCCAGGGGATGGGAAAAATTATTTTTATTCCAAGCTAAGAAAAAGCTGAGGCTGTACAGACTGATCATGCTTTGTTTCCCTGTCTTAGAAACAAGCAGGTCTCTTCTACATGAGCTCTAAGGCTTCCTGCAGGGATGCTGCTGCCAGTGGGCATGAAAGCATCCTCCCCAAACAGTGCCTGTGGCGAGGCTGAATTTCTTCACATGTGCTTCCACAGGAGCATTCCTCATCCAGCCTTTGCTTGCAGGAGCCGCGTCAGCACACGGACCCCTAACCCACGGGCAAACATCGCCAATAGGTTTCTTACCTCCTCCCCTTAGACCTTCATCTCAAAAGTGTCACTGGCTTGTTTGGCTTAATCAGGAAAAAAATAAAGCCAACTGGTGCTCACGGTTTTCCTCCCCCCCTCTCTTTGCAGCAGCACCAGCTATTCTACGAGTCCTTTTTCCGGCTGGCAGGCAGAGTCCGGTGCCTGCAACATTTATGCCGCTCCGCCATTCGGACAAAGTTTGGCAGCAAATGCCATTGCCTTATACCCTTGCTGCCCGTGCCCAAGCCTTTGCACGATTACCTGCTGCTGGAGCCCGAAGGAGTCGTGCTTTGAAGGGCCGAGAGGAGCCGACCGAGGTCTGCCGTCCAGCCCTCCCTTACCTCGTCATCCCTCGGTGTAGCGCAGCAGCATCCATTTCTGTCAGCCGAGCGAAGGAGCACCGGTTTTCATGATAGATGGTTGTTTTTCAGGGATTTATAACGTAACTAAAATGTGCTTTCGGCTGTAACTTTGTATAGATTTTTTTCTAATTGTGCTTTAAATAGATTATAAAGAGTAATAAAATGATTAGTAGCTGTTACAAGCATGCTGCAGATATGAATAACACTCATTACAAAGGATCTCTGCAAAGCAGCGGGGCTCCTCAGGTGTGCACGTACGGCAGACAACTAAAAATCAGCCCACATGGGCATCAAATCCCTTTGGATAGATCTCCCCTGTGAGTGGCACAAGCAGAATTGGGACCAGAGATGCATTGTGGAAGCTGTTAGCAGGATGCACTATCCAGTGGCATTAGTATATACTGTAAAATAGACCAAAAATCTATTTTTTGTTGTAGAAGCCACCAGGAAAGAGCTGGTTACTCCAGGCAGGACCAGAGGTTGGGGGTGACAGAGCCCTCTATTTCTTCCGGCTCCCCGTGATCCAAGGGATGCACCAGCACCTCCCATACCCATCGTGCCCATCCCTGCTCCCAGACTGGCATGCGGAGGGGCTGGAAAGCCCAGCGGCAAGCCAAAGTGGAGGAATTTGGGCTTTTTTTTCCCACAGTGACTTGGCAAAAGGTACGAGGAGGACCGAGGATGTGTTTTCCCAGACCCTCAGGCTCCCCAAATTAATTTCTGTTGAACCAAAGCAAGCGCACGCATGTGCCCCTCGGAAGAACAGCTGTCCTTACGCTAGCAGCTCTGCCACAGCACTTGCCAAATTGTTCCACTGCTTAATTACACTCACTATTTAAAAACATATATAAATAAATCAGCCTTTTTGCACGTTTGACTGGACTTTGCAGCAGCACCCAACACTAGTGTGGGTTATACAGCCGACATGTGCAGGACGCAGGCAGCATCCCTGGCTCCCAGAGCTGGTGCCCGTGGAGCAGGGAGCGTGGAAATGGGGAGGGAAAGGAAATTCCCTCTTCCCAGCTTCCACCTGCTGCTTCCGCAGCTTTCCTCACCCTTTAAGTTGTTCACAGATGTGCAAGGGCATCGCCAAGCCCCACTGTGTTCCCCATCTTTGGTGCCCAAGCCCTGTCCCACACGGGCACGCCTCACAGCAAAGCCCCACGCCAAATCCCTATGACGCCTTGAGAGCTGGCACTTCGTGACTTTAGTGACTGTTTTACTTTATGGTTTGTTTTACTGGTTGGAGCAGGGGGAGAATTGAAGGGGATTTAGGGAAAACAAATCCTGGCTGAGTCGTTGTGTGTTTGAAGCAGCCAAATCTAAATTTTGGTGCCTCTAATGAGCCTTTCATCTTTTGTGTGGTTCCCCAAGCGGGAAGAATGACACGTTTTACATCCGTATTGGGCAAGTTTGCATGGAGATAGAGTCCCACCAGGTGATCGCATCCTCCCGCAAAATCCATGACCTCGGCTGGCCATCCCGCAGCTACC